TATAATTATTAGCCTTTATCCGTACGATGGAATATTTTCCCCTGTGTTAATGCTTTATAGAGACATCTTTAAAAGGAAAAAAAAAACTTCCAGAAAGATACATTTATTATAAGGAGTCCACGCAATAATCGACATTAATAGACTTCGCAGGTATGTTAAGACACCATCCAGATCATTATTCGGGAAATTTCAACTATTTTTGTAAACTGCAACATTGATAAATCAGAAAGGCGACGGATAAAACATTTACTATTATCAACCATTGAAGAGATGTCAATGAATCTTAGGCTAAAGGCACTCTACTACAAAGACATTATGTGATGTTTATAAATAGAAAAAGGAAAAGTGAAATGTTTACAAATGTTCGACATTTCGATATATCGACGACGCATTATCAATTAACAATTGTTACTTTCATTCATATGTCGACTCGATATATCCCAGTGAGCTTGAAATAAAAGATGCCACAGATTCCGATACATCTGTTTTATATTGAGATATTTTACTAGAAAAGACGTTAATGATAACCTATCAACAAATCTTTATGATAAAAGTGATGACTTCAACTTTTCAATCGTCAGTTTCCCTTACTTATGTAGCAATATACCCTTATCACCTGCATACGGGGTTTATGTCTCTCAGTTGATTCGATACGCAAAAGCATGCTCTACGTAAGAACAATTTCTAAAACAAGGCAAGCTATTAACAAACAAATTGACGAAACAAGGATACCATCAGTCTCGTTTGAAGTCATTTTTTCGCAAGTTTTTTCGGTCGATACAATGACCTTGTCAGTACATACATGTACAACCTGTCATTGAGTCAAATGCTGACTGACGTTTTTCATACTGATTGTTAGGCTATTATTTATACCCTGAAGTGTATACGGATTTTTCTGGTTATTGTTTCCCGATCATGAAAAGGCGCACACGGCGGGTGTGATCGGGCGGCCGGGGATACTCACTCCTACATGGCACCTGATCCCACCTCTAAATTTTTAGGTCCGTGTTTGCTCTGCTCCACATTTGTATCGTTTCATTGCACTTTCGAGATTGAATACTATCCGTTTTCTTCATATTTTATTTCAACACTACCCGGGGATAAATCATTTCTTCTGTTTGTAGAAATAATTGTAAAAACATCTCTGGGTAATAAAAAATGCCGCTATCCAAAATGCTACTCTCCTGTCACTGAAAGATATTTTCCAAACTTTCACATGCAACTTACCAATTTTCATTTACAACTAGTACACAAAACCAGGAATTTTCATCTATTCATGTTAACTACACGATTGTAGCAGCACTTTCCAAGTACTATGGAACACAAACTCTCAATATCGACCAAAATTATGTTCCAAAGTATGCGGGGTAGAGTTGAACATATGAATCTCTGAAATGACAGAGAAAAGGATGATCGGGATTTCAACATACACACATTTTGCACCAGTGCCTTATTTCCAGGTTCTTACTTGGCTTCTCTTACCGTAGAATCATACCTTTCTTTGTTTTTATGCCCTGATTTCATTGCCTCTTTAGATGCTATAGCATGAGCTGACTCAATCCTCTGTTGAAATTTTGCTACCTATCCTCTGGGATTTACATCTCCTTTCGTTCCTTGGTCAAGTCCAATAAATAAATCTGTGGGCGCCTTGGATTCCAGCTGAACATCACAAAACGAGGTAAAAGCCTTTTGCATCACGTAGACGCCATTAGTAGACGATGTCGGTAGATTAGGTTCAGTAATTGTAAGGAATATTTAAATAAAAGTTGCAGTTAACATAAAATGAAGTCATAATAGTTATTAAACAATGCAGAATTATTTTTTAATTTACTCTTAAACTGAATTATAATAGAAAGTAGGTGTATAAAATAAATATAATTACCAATTGCAAGCACAACATACATGTTTTAATCGGCTGCAAGGTAAATACGGTATAGTGCCCAGAGAGCAGGAAAATAATTTTTCAGTGTGATTATTTGAATTTTTCTTATGTCATCTAACGCTGCCGTAAGCATTAAAAATTAGTTATCATGAAGAGTGAGTGTTTTAAACTGTTAAATAATGTAAATATGCCTATTTTAAATGTACAGGGTGAAGCTTACACATCTACACCCCCCCCCCCCCCCAAAAAAAAGAACCTGAAATTTTATTTATATTTCAAGTATATTCTATTAAATTAGTTAGTTTGCTGGACCCTATTGAGACCAGATTTAAATACATTTATGTTTTGCTTATCTTAGAAGATTAAATGAGCTAGTTTATTTTGTGAAAAGAAAAAAACAGACTGAATTACATTGGCCAATATACTTATGTTTAACGAACCAAGTTTCGTTAACTAATAAACTGTAAGAGAGAAGTTCTCCAGATTTTCAAAACTGTTGTTCGATTTTCATGTCAAAAAGAAGTGAAGGATGGATTTTCAAATTTAGAATTAAAAAAATCTCGTAATGAGATTCAAAATCTAGATAAAAAAGATAGCTTAAGGTGTATTTGTACAACTCGATCTTTCAGAGGTATAATTTAAATATTTAAGTATTGTTATGTTTCTCAGTAAGTAACATATATTGTACTTGTAAGTTACAGCAAATATGATATTCATTAATTCTTAATAGATTCAGTAGAATCTTTTTGTGATTGGTAATGAATAAATTGATGAATTAAAATCAGGAACATTGTCATTTTGTTATTTGGCTCCAGATTTTGGTACTTTTTTGCAGCTCTTCCAATTTTTTTTTCTTAAAAATATTTTGGATTTCCAACGTTTCGGCTTGAGCATCACTGAAGAGACATAATTTGTTGAAATGCGCATCTGGTGCATCAAAATTAGTACCGTATATGATTTACATTTGACATGTTTTTTTTTTTTCATGGTACAATCATATAATAATGAACAAAACTCTTTGAAAATAGCTTATTTTAACTTTGACTTTCAAAAAATGCAGTGTATGACATTCACACAATCCCTCCATAATTATCAGATTAAAAGACAAATTTTACGATCAGGATAATTATAAGCTGTCATAGTATTATTTCAACTACAGTTTTGACTGTATTTAGAGAAATGTGTCAAAAGTTAAATTACAATTTTGTTGTTTTGTAAACTTCTTATTCTTGGAAAAGTTCAACATTCTTAAAATAGCTTTTCGAAGTCAATCCATGCATTTCTTCTTCCAGTTCTTATGCGGAAATATTGTGAATTGCTCAATATTATTGACATTTTGTATTTGCAATCAGTCGTTTTACAATTCTCTGCGACTATTCATTCTAGCTATGAAAAGACATTTTATGTAAAGATGCAATATAAATGTAATAAGAGCATGTCTATCAGAAAACCATGCAAATGGAGAAAAAGGCTGCAGTAGAGAGTCTCAAGAACAAACTGATTTTTATTATTAACTTAAAGGACATGCATTGAGAGTCAGAAATATGATGTTTATTTTTGCATCGGTTGTTTCTATATTTAGTAACAGCCAATAATTCATTCTGGTCAATATTCCAGGGAAAAACGCAAAAAAGTTGGTGTAAAAATGACATTTTCAATATTTAAAAGTAAAAAGAATAAACAACATAAGAAGAAAAGGGGAATGTTTTCTCACTGAATTGAGTCGTAAAATTAAGTTGGAATCAAATTTTTTGTAATATCCTTATATATAACGCTGTCCCATGAGCACAAAAATTGGCATGGTGCCAAGAAATGATAATGATTCATTTTTTGTCAATATTTAAAGAAATATTTCTAAGAAAGTGACGCTTCTTTTTTCAGAATTTTGTGCAATTAGAAACCTCTAAGATATTATCTCAGCAATATGTAAAATCCACCTTTGGACTCCCAAGGACATAAAAGTTACATCATAATGAAATTATCTCAAATTCAAATGATAGAAAAATTGGTGGTTTTATAAGTTTAACATTTAAAGTAATTAAAATTAATTTCATGTAATATATTTACAGATATAAACAATAAAAATCATTTTGAATTTTATAAAAGCTATAATTAAATATTTTCCCTGCTTTTCCTGGGAAAAAAACGTATTTTACAATTTATTTAGATTTTTGTAAGAGTTATCTCCCCTGTTGCACTCTTCTGTAGAGAAGGTAGATAATGATTATGTTTACGAACAGATGTCTGCCATCTAATCGGTTAGGCATAAATCATGTGTGCTTTTAAGAAATTTGTTCCTTCCTGTCAATGTAATTTGTTACATACTAGTAGCCTATCTATAAAATACATGAATGTGACCAAAACTTATCAGTTTAACCCCTTTCATGGCATATGATAATTATACGCATTTCTACGAACGAGTAACGTTATAGTGTAAACAAACATTCATAAGTTCGTTAGTATTGCAAATATTAGAATAATTCTTGCATCGTTAGAAAAAAAATACAATAAAATAATGTACAGATTTCTCTTTTACTATTTGTACAATTTTTTTGCTAGCTAGAGTTAAACTTCGCGCACTATTCGAGCAATTTTTGTCGTGATCGAAATCAACGCAGTGGTAAAACACGTGTTTATTTTTTATCACAGCATTTTATAACAACCTTAGAAATCCATGAATTTAGAAAAAAAAAAAAATCGGATCTAATGAAAGTGAAACTTATTACTTAATTTTTTAAAAATAAACTGTAAATAAACTTAATTAATGTTAAGGAAAGGTATTTTAATTTGGCAGGATTATAAAATGTTACCTCAGTCTCTGCTCAGACTCACGATATCATTTAGTCGGAAATATCTGACGTTTTCCTGGCTTTTTTACGATTTTGATATTTTACGTGCCAAGAAAACGTAAAATATCAAAATCGTGAAAAAGCCAGGAAAACGTCAGATATATCGGACTAGATATCATTATGCATGTAAAAATATTAAAATATTAGACAAAGAAAAAAAGAACTATGAAAAAAAAAATGTACATTCATCTTTTGTTCTAGTAGATTTACGTTTGATATATCGTCCTATTGAAAAAATACTGTTTTTATACCAAAAATACGAAGTCTAAAAAATTATGAAATCCATCGGGATCGATGTACGGTTCCGTAACCACGTGTAAACATAATGGCTTCCTGCGACGTTTTGTACATCCTCAGAAAAAGATTCAGGTGCATAAATTGTCAACGAGTCTTCGAATTCTGGCTCTGATTTTGATGAATATGATTCTGACAGCGAACATTCATTTGGTAGCGAGACGGATGTAGTGATGATGATACCGAATCAACATTGTTTGAATTTGACACAGGTACTTGGGTTTTGGTTTAGAAATATGTATGTACCTTACTGATATGTAATAAAAAAAAAGAAGAAGAAACAAACTGTTGATGAGGGCATGATTATATACAAGAGAAGATTTTTTTGCAAGACAATATATGCCTAACAAACCTGTCCAGAGATATTTCAAGGTTGGTAGCAATAAAAATATATCTGTATAAATTCAACAATATTGCAAAATACATGTACATATGCGACATATTCACATCTGCAGAATTATAATTTATGTAGTCTTTTTGGGGTAATGAAGAGGGAGGGAAAAGTTGAATAGGTCCAGGTGTTTTCGAAGACTGTTTAGTAATTGGGCAAATCAAGAATTGGATAGGGGGATCTTCACTGTCAATTAAATCACCATAACTGCCTCATATGATGGATGAATGATTATAAAGAAATTTCATGAAACACAATAATTTTTTAAGATATTTATGAGAAGTGATGAAGATGGCTACTGTTATGATTATTGGCTTTTTATGGAAAAGTGCAATTTTTTTTTTCATGGAAGATCACAAGGAAAAAGAGTTGTCAAACACTTGTGCAGACTTTTCAAATTCAAAGGTCACCATGTGTTCCTTGACAGGTTTGTGTTTAAAACAATTAATATTATAAATATAAGACTGGGAAATTATACTTTTTAAAGAACATTTTATTTCATTCTTATATGTCTCATGCAATTTCAGATTATTCATATCCATTTCCCTGGTAAGAGCTCGGCTTTACAATGGGATTTTCGGCTGTGGAGCTGTAAAGAATTACTAGGGTTTCCAATGTAGTTACAGAATCCAGAAAAAAGAAGAGAAGAGACAATGCAGATGCAACATGACCAATTATTTGCCACTGCTTAAAAGATGAGAAAATGGTAAAGATATGTTATAACACAATTCATTTCTTCAAATTAAATTTAATCCTATCACACACTAACTGAAATTCATATACCGGTACTGTAAACAGAGAAGTATAGAGAAAGTATAAATATAGGAATTGCCCTGTCTGTCTGTTGATTTGCCACATGCATTTTTTCCCAACTCTCTTAATTTACTTCAAAGAAGATTAGAAGCTCTTGTTTTCTACAAAGATAGCCAGAAGAGTTTGTGAAGAATTTCACCCAAGTCATTTGATTACATTTTCTTAAATTGAAATAAATTATATAAATGTAGCATTACCATAATTTATTTTATGACATTTATGTTAAAAAAAAATCTTAGAATATGTGGTCTAGTATGGTTTATTTAAGAAATGAATGTAATTTTTTTTTCTTTGACCGACGTATCAAAGAAAGAATTTGGACGGAAAACGTCATCAATGTGCGTAGCGCATTGATGAAAACGTTTTCTGTCCAAATTTTTTCTCTGATACGTCGGTCAAAGAAAAAAATATTTCTTTCATTTCTTATCATTTAATTATGATTTTAAAATAATAAAATGAAACTTTCCTTCAGTTTACTATTAAACTTGCGCATCAAAAACAGTGCGTAGGAATATATCACAACAATGTTGCTGAAATTCAAAATGGCTATAGGCCTAATGAAGAAACAACGTTCTCAAATATTGCCATGTTACTACCAACCTTTTCTAACAATAATTAACAGTTCTTTAACACAAAAAACTTACCTGTTGTGTTATTATTTTTTGCTATATTCCAGTGGGTATATTTTCCCCGGTAAGCTATCTAGGTTTTTAAATTTAAAGGGATGCTACTCAGTTATCCTAACAACTCTTTCTATAGGTCACAGAAATATTGGATTTCATTTGCGCATCTCTTCATCTGAATTTCAAACCGAAATATAAATATGTATCACAACCTGTCCATGCTGTAAAATCTGAAAGAGTCTGTTGCCCACTGTTTAACATTGAAAGAATTCCGTCCTCATAGGTATGCTGATTTCTTTCCTTCTTTCCCATTACTGTATTGTTGTCATGCAGACGATATGATTTGTTTAGCAAGGGGGGATAATTAAAAAAGAAACCAAAGTAGAAAATAAGTCAGGAACGTAATGGACAAGTTTCAAAATTCAGGAAAATATCTATTAGAGAAAAAGTATTTAATTGTTCCTTCATGAAATTCTGGAAGCGGGAAATATACATGTAAAGACAGCCAAAGTAATTCCGGCTGCTAAGTGCAAGCGAACTCCAAATTCTATTGATGCAGTTATCAAAAGAATTTTTTATCCAATCACAATCAATTATTTTATAGAAATTAAATGATTTCAGTTTAATCTAAAAACTGTCCTTTGTTACAGGTACATGCTTTGAGTACTGCTTTAAGGCTATTTGGAGACAGACCAGTTGTTCTTTGCACCAGGGGTGAAAATTTCAGTGCTTGTTAAATTTTCTCCAGAACTTATCGGACACCACAGAGGAAGAAAATGGGTTCATACTGCACAGAATAGTTTGGAAACACCTCATATCTTTTGAAAGCTTGAGCCCTCAAAGTCAACCTGGAGATGGTGTACCAAACATGGAGAAATAAAAAGAAAAAAGACAGTTTATGATTGAAGAAGCTTGCGAAGTGACCAATATTTTAGGGTATTTTGTACAGATGTTAACTTGTAAGATCTTATTGGTACATGGACATAAACATTATTAACATGTTAGTTAATGTGTATCATGTATCGCTTGCAGGAATACACAAAAATTCAGAGTAAATTATCAGTGTTTGCTATGTTAGATAAGCTCAAAGATCAAAGTCAACAGTGCTTTAGTTTTACCAAATATACCAATGTTATAAAGACCAATTTCCTGTATACAGGCATAGCAAATAATTCAGAATGTAATTTGGGAAGCTGTGATTTTTTTTTTTTTTTAATCTTATCTTAAATTTAGAACCCTGATGTATACTCAAACAAGTAGAATTTTTTCAAGCGTACAAAATTTCAAGGTCATTTTAATTTTGGAAGTGAATATAAAATATCAGGAAGCAGTCAAACATTGAAAATTTTTTGTTGTTGAATGTACTTAGTTAATGAATAATATTCAACTTTTAATCTGCAATGAATTAAAAAAATTAGAGATGTCCTAGTTTGCTGATTTTTAAAACTTGGTGTTCATTCATTTTGAGTTTGTTGCCATGACAAGATGTCTGTCAAGCAAATGGTTCTGAAAATATCTTCCTAGTATGTCTAGTATCTAAGGTGTTTGACTTTTTACTTTATGACTGCAACATAAGCAAGGGCCATCTCTCTGTAGGAAAGAAGTGTAGTGAATTTAAGATATTAAGAAATGTATGTATTCCTTTGTGTCCATTTTGACCCCTGACCTTTGACCTTGTGACCTCAAAATCTAGAGGGGTCATCTACTTTTTAAGAAACCAGTGTACTAAATTTGATGTCAGTCAAGCAATGGGTTCTCAAGTTTTTGAATGACTAAAATCTACATACTGGTATATCTATAGAGAAGTATAACCCTTCACCTTTGACCTTGTGATCTCCAAATTAAAAGGGGTCATCTACTTATTAGTGGGTACCAGTGTACTAAGTTTATTGTCTGTCAAGCAAATGTTTTTTAAGATAAGAGAGCACAACACTTGGTCTATGACTGACAAACAGGTGCTTAGCAGTATGTGAATGTCACCCTTTTCAAAGAAAAAAAAAATTATAGAATTCTAGTAATTACCCCCCACCCCATTCAACCCCCTAAGAAATACTTAAAATTGGTTAAAAACAAAAAATGTACAACATGCTGATATTTTTCAACAACAAAATTTTATTTTTGAAAATATTTAACTAAGCAAAAAGCCATAATGAAACTAGTTGCTGAAGTTCAGGGATGAGATAATTTGAAAATTGAAAAAAAAAAAAATGTCCAACTTTAAGTAAAAAATATAGACAAAAAATTTGAGAGTCCAAAGACAGATTTTTTATATAATGTAGACAGACATGTTGTTTAATAAATGGTATGAGATTGAGTTAATTCTAAGTGTCACTTTCTGAGTTATAGGTTTTTGAAAATTGAATATTTTCACCAGTTTTCAAAAATCTGGAAATATGCCAGATTTGTGACCTTTTTGCACTTAAACGGAGGCACAGTTTGTGATTATGAAAAAATTACTGAAACAAGTGTATCTTGTTACCTTTAACCATATATGGATATTTTATATCATTATTAAATTAAATGCTGAATTTTTAAATATAAAATCCTAAAATGTTCCCGTTTTCACGCTGTGTAAGGACAACAATTCTATTTTTAGTAACAGCCTTGATTAACCCCATTAAGTGAGACCACACTGAAAAAATTTTAGTGGCAAAATATTTCATATTCTATTAGAAATTCACACACAAAACATGAAGTTGATTGGAGAACCTTGCTCCCACCACTTTTTGCATGGTTTTCTCGTAGACATGCTCATAAAATAAGATTTTCAGCGTGAAATACTCGCGAGTAAAAGAATGTCGCAAAAATGTCTAGCATGCAAATAAAAGTTTGTTTATGAGTTTGATTATATCTGATACAGCATATTATTTAATTTGTTTATACAGTAGATAATCAAATTGTGCAATGTATAAAATGTCTTTTTTTATGTCTTCCGTCCTGCAGTACTTTCAGTACTTTTATTATATTGTTTGACACTAGTGTAAATGGAGTCACCATGGTATAGAAATAAATGTGCCTAACACACGAAACGGTTTCTTATTCCTGTATTCTTGTTGAGATTCTCATAGAAATTGTACAAAGACTGAAGAAAAAAATCTTTTCTAAAGTTAAAGTTTGTCTGTTAAGCATAAAAGCAAACGATCTAAATAGGCTACTAAAATTTGCCAGTGTCTGAGTTGACTTGATGATCAATGGTTTCTCCATGAAAGGCTCTTATTCAACGACCATTCAATCATCTTTCAGTGTCCATTTCAACTGAGAAATAAAGTTTCTTTCCTGTTTCAAATTAAAAAAAAATGACCCTTACTAGAGGTGGTTTCCCGGCAACCAGTGGAGACATCACACGTATTGTTGTCACAATCACATATCCCTTGACACATGTATCCATAATGAGGATAAGGACATGATTGACTACAGTTTACTCCACTGTATCCTGGTACACATTCTGCAATTAAGGTCATATAGATGAATTCAAAGAAGAAGGAAATTAAAGTATATTGTAATTTTATTTGCAGCAATAGATCCAAGGACTTTTGCAAACCTGACATACCTTTGCTCTTTAATTCATATTAATTAGACTAAAAAGTTTATTTCATTTTTTTCTTGCTCCTCTGTTGGTAATGGCAGAATATAATTTCATATGTATTTTCATATGACTATCTCATAATCACTAAGGCCTGGTTGACATTTATAGTATAAGATTAAACATAAAAAAAATGTTTCTGTCATTGAGGATGATATAAAATTCATATGCTTAATTTACGATAGACATACGTGTATTTCTACTGAAGAATGATGTATAAGGTCATATTACCTATTCAAATAATAAAAAAAAAACTATACATAAACATAGAATAAGGGTTGATGCATCATACATTACAACGTACATGTATATTGACTTTCAACAGTTCTAACATCGAAGTGTACGTGTGTTACTAGGTATGTATATGACAATTAAAAACTAATTGTTACAATTCAAAAAAAAAAATCACGACTTACTTTTGCATCTTTGAGTTTCTATATTCCAGTAGTAATTTGCACAACATTTTTGAAGCCTCTATAAACAAATATTTTGGAGTAAATATTCTGTTGCGACTTAAGAAACATATTTACGCGTCATAATGATATTTATTCATGAAGAATCAAATAAATATATATTAAATTTAAAGTATTCAATGTATAATGAAGGGATATTGAACAATTTTGAATCATTTTAAACTAATTAAATATGCATTGCAATAAAATGATGGAAGTGAAATGAACCAAATTCACTTGGCTGATAACATGTAAGAAGCCAGTCATTTTGCACGTTAAACTTTTTTAAAGAGTTATCTACTCTTGATGAAAAGAAGAAAATTTTAATTTTGTCAAAGATCTATGGTAAATGATTCATTTTATTTTATATTTTAATAAAGAGAGAATTTATGCATATTTTCACCAAGAGATTAGTATTAAGTTCAAATTACCTTTTATAATATCTTAAATATACATATGCTGCCCACAGACTTCAATGTAAAATTCACAGTGCAATTCATGGGGCAATAATCAAAATTTTATAAATTCCTTTGGTGGATTATTTTAATTTATAACACGTTCAAAATGCTACCATGGTTCAAAATATTGGACCATACATTCTTTAGGTACAAAATATGGTCGTTATGCATTGAATACCTTAAATAAAAAAGAAATACATACGTTTCACATATTGGAATTTCCATTAAACATGAAGAGAGAAAAGTAAATGTGCTTAAAATAAATATACATATGAAAATTACTGACTTATGTTGCATCGTGTCCAAGCACTATTCATGCCAATACATTATTTATTTTAAGTGTGATTGTCATTCTCCGGGAAGTAGACCAATTTCCCTTTTCCGTCAATGCATTTGGAATGATCAATCCACGGTCAAATTGTAAGGACTTTGACATATCTCAAAGTGCTAAAAAGTGATGTTTCAAAAATGTCTACATTTTATGCTTCAAAATTTTAATAAAAGAATGAAAGTTCTTTGCTACGTTAAATAATTATGATGGGTGATTAGTAGAGTATTTTCATTCTAAGTGAAACAATTTTACTGTTGCTTAAGAGTCCCCCCCCCCCTCCCCCGGTTCCGAGTAAACCTTCCACTCCACCCCCGAAGATTAAATGTAGAGTTAACCCCCCCCCCCCCCTAATTTACTGTATGGTATTTCTTATATTATTTCTTTTGCATAGTAAACCTTCCTACCCAGACATAAACGGTTCAGATTTTACATAATCTATGAAGAATGTATCTTTTTACATTAAATGTCGATCTATGAGTTAAATACTTATGTCTCATTTTCAGTTTCAGCTTTGAAAGCAAATCATCATTGCAAACTGCAGTTAAAGTAAATTAAAACTTTTGTGATGATGATCCAATTAGGTACCCTTTCCACTATAAGTTCAGATAATTGTAGGTAAACACATCAAAAGTACATGTACAATGTATATACTAAGTTAAGTATATCAAAACTTATTTGTTGATTCGGAATTAAGTAAGTTAATTTTCATCCAGGCCAAAAGATAAAAAATGTTGATACACAAAGAAAGGTCTTGTCTCAAGGAATACACCTGTGAAATTTGAAAGACCTAGATACAACTGTTCAAAAGTTATGGCCAAGGTTAAAGTTTTTTTAAATGAAAGTCAAACGTCAAGGTGAAAGTGGTTGGTATCGAAAGGAAGATCTTGTCACAAGGATTACATATGTGAAGTATGAAAGCCCTAGCACCAACCATTCAAAAGTTATGGCCAAGGTTAAAGTTTTTCAAAGTAGGTCAAACTCCTAGGTCAAGGTCCAAAGGTCAAAGTGGTGGTTGGTATCCAAAGGAAGGTCTTGTCACAAGGATTACATGTGTGAAGTATGAAAGCCCTAGCTCCGACCATTCAAAAGTTATGGCCAAGGTTAAAGTTTTCCAAAAGTAGGTCAAACTCCTAGGTCAAGGTCAAAGGGTCAAAGTGGTTGATATCCAGAGGAAGGTCTTGTCACAAGGAATACACATGTGAAGTTTGAAACCCTAAGCACAAGCTGTTCAAAAGTTATGACCAAGGTTAAAGTTTTTAAAAAGTAGGTCAAGGTCAAAAGGTCAAAGTGGTTGGTATCCAAAGGAAGGTCTTGTCACAAGGATTACATATGTGAATTATGAAAGCCCTAGCTTCAACCATTCAAAAGTTATGGCCAAGGTTAAAGTTTTTCAAAAGTAGGTCAAATTCCTAGGTCAAGGTCAAAAGGTCAAAGTGGTGGTTGGTATCCAAAGGAAGGTCTTGTCGCAAGGATTACATATGTGAAGTATGTAAGCCCTAGCCCCAACCATTCAAAAGTTATGGCCAAGGATAAAGTTTTTCAAAAGTAGGTCAAACTCCTAGGTCAAGGTCAAAGGGTCAAAGTGATTGATATCCAGAGGAAGGTCTTGTCACAAGGAATACACATGTGAAGTTTGAAACCCTAAGCACCAGCTGTTCAAAAGTTATGGCCAAGGTTAAA